AGTACCTCTGTCTGTTCGTTCTAGTCCTTCAGTAGACATTTTTAAATCCAGACTGGAAACGCACTTACTTAAATGTGCTTTTAATATTTGACTGATTGTTTATTGTATCAGCGCCTTTGATCTTCATATGTTGGAATTGTTACGCTTAATTAAATAAAGTTATTATTATTATTATTTGTATCATGTTGCAGTGCAGCTTGCTGACCAGGATATATGCATTACATTCATGCATGTCAAATTCAATCTAATTACATGTATACTTTGTATATATTGTTGTATGGTTTACAATTAGAGATACATGTTTCGCCACGCTTCAATTCATTAACAATGAACATATGATCATTCAGACTTAATGCATAATTGTCACCATAATGAGTATCTTCGATATTTGTATTACCCCAAAGTGCTGCCCTTTGTCTAAACGTATTGCCAGGATATGTTCTACAGTGGTTGCTAGTCTGGTCACTGTGTAGATCACTATTTCAGATATTTATTGCAATTAATGCATTAATCTTGACCGGAAAGTGTTTATTTGGTCATTGCCTCACTACTATACCTCGACAAATTCTGTTTTTTCCAGGGTGTTTTGGAAAGTTGACATCCAAAATTTTGTCAAAGATAAGACCTCTCAGAAGAATCAGGCACAGGTTTGCGGAGCCGTACGTTTACACAGATCACAAACTGTGTGTGATGTGGGTGATTGAATCCCTCACCATGTTCATCTTTTTTTTAAGACTTGAAACTTATACAAGAAAACACTGACCATTGTACGACTATTCATGTATTATTTGTGATAACTTGAAGACATCTAACTGCACTGTTTTTACACAGCTGCCTTAGCACCACAATTTCTTTCAATGGCATACAAGCATTACTCAGTCATTCTACGACAGAAACACCAAAAGTTAGACCACATAATGCTGTAGATACACAGATAATGCATATTAATATCATTGCAAATTTTGACAATTACAATTTATTTGCTTCTACATGAACATAATTTGAATACAAGATATTTTTTTAAAGCTTAAAGAAAGACACAGACCTGATAAAAAGTCAGTTTAAAATTTCATTCCAAAATATGACCCATACAAGTATGAATAAACAAAACCCCATTATGAGAGTCACACGCGCAATCTCAGGTAATGGGTAAACGTACCATTTCGATATGGTAGAAGTCTTCGTCTAATGAACTACCAGATGCAATAAATGCAATCACACACAAATGTTTATATTACCAGGGACTTCAGAGGGAATGAAAAATGTAATTCATATTTTTATCATGACCTCTATATACAGTACAAGATACGACTATGATACAAATTATCAATCTTGATGTGCATCAGCCACTTAAACTGAAGCAGTAAGCTACACATACATGAATACAGCATATGTGACGACATTAATAAAATCAGTCATGTGAAATTCAAATCAAGGACATTTGATCATTAAGTGCACATCTACTGTGAAGGAATCTGCTGAAATGTTAAATACCATGTGATCTTTATAAAGACCACAAGAAATTGCACTTTCATTTACTGGCCATCATTTGAAGTGAGCTTCATACTAAGTACAAATATTTATTTACTAACTATAATCAGCACTGTAAAACATTATCAAATAATTTTTTTTTCTTCAATGTTAATCGCTTACATGTTTGACTGAAAAAATACATCATCTTAGAAAGGCAAGAAATATTTACAACATGGACAGAAATGTCTTTCATTTTGGAAACATGTGAACACATTCTTCCCATAATCATACAAACATGACTGCCATAAATAATTTGTAATATTCCAGGACAAAGAAATTTGAATAAAAATAGTTTTGTCTACAGAAAGCATGAAGACTGGACAAAGTGAAAAATTGTAATCAGACATTTGTGGCAGTTGAAACATCCCACATCTATGTTCACATGGGGAAAATAAAGGCAATAATCTTTGTAATATGTTTATAGTCATTTGTTAATTGCATTGGAATACGTTTGCTCATCTATTTTATTATTATCTTGGACACATAAATTCTCTTTACAGATTAGTTATAAAGATGTACATAGATTAGATGCAGTTATTTCTACAAATTCATAATTCTTGGAAAACCACTGACAAGTACAAAAGTTATTGAGGTCATAGCTTTTCCATTTTTTTCTTGCACTACATAGAATCAGACGTAAATTACAAAATGATATAAATAGTAAGCAACCAGGTAGTAAATGAAATTAATCCCTAATTGCGTTCTGATACTACCAGTAGAAAGTTGCAGTCCTAGTTTGTATTATATGCAGAGCATTGAATATGCAATCACCTTAAATGATAAAACAGAACATGCTTATGTTGTCTGATCACCAAATTAACCACAATTTTTATCAATCACTCAAGGCCATGTTTGCATGTTTAAAATTCGATTTCAGGATTTCCAATAAACAAAAGAATTTAAAGCTTACACGAGTAATTGCGATGTTTTCTGCAGATCATACAAAGTAGGAATGCAATTTAAAAATATAAGCATTTTACAGCAGTTTTAAACTTTTGAGTGCCAAATTTCTAACCCGCTCAAATTGAGAGAAATTTGTTAACATTTTCTGTGATATTTCACTGAATTCAAAGTTAATTTTGGACCTAACAAATCAAAATGGTACATTACTTCTAGTTTTTGATCCAAAAATTTGAAATGTTTGCAATATTTTATGTGTAAAAGAGCAGACTATTAACTTTTGTGTGAATGGTACCTGAAGTTTACTTTAAGGCTCAAAGGGTTAACTATTGTGTTTCGATACCCATGGGTGAAATGAATACAATATAGCCTCATTTTTTGTACAAAAATGATACAAATCAACTATGTTACAATGTAGCAATTCATAAAACAGCTTCAGACAATTTTATACTCATAATGTTGTTACATTGTACTTAAAATCCATTCACAACGTGATCATTTCGTATGGAAATACTATTACTGGTATATTCAAAACTAGTGTAGCATTTTCTCACTACAAGGGTCAACCTACAAGTACACTTGTATTTCAGCTTTGACATCAACAAAGTGTTATCCAAAACAATAATCTTCAAAAATATTGAAATATTTGCAGTTAGTTGTGCCTTAAAGACTAATTTCAAAACATGTACATAATTAGTTTGTACATAAGATCAAAGATTAAACTAAGTTTAAAATAAAGCTACAGTTACAAGGCATGAAGTTTGTGTTGAAAATTGTTGAATATCCCACAGTATAGTGCAATAATATATGTTCTTTAAAATAAAATATTTATAAAATAAAATACAAACAATGTAAATACATCAGTTTTGTTTTTAAAGTAAATATAACACATATATTAAGTTGGTTTTACTGTTCATTGGACGCCACTTAGCAGTGTTCATTTTCATATGCCTAGGAAAGCTTACACACAATATGACTCCCTAGCTAGCTCTTGTCGTACATACTCTGTCTGTTGAGTTTTTCAGGCGCATTGGATGCCATTTCTGTGAAATCTTTGAAAACATCTTGAAAGGTTTCATCACCTGTAATATAATAATAAGAAAAAACATGGAAAAGAACAGAATTAATGTCAAGAAAATATAAATGATGGAATCTTATTCCAATTTGAGATTATATCAAATCAAAAACACAGTTTCAACACATTGTGATTCACAGTTCTATTGAAGCAAATATGATTGTATACATCTTTGCCTTCTGTAATTTATTTAGGAGCAGCAAGATTATTTGAAAGGTGCATTGCCCCAAAGTATTCTTTACAAGGGCATGGAAATTGTGGTACAGACTAATAACAGCAAAAAATCCAATTCAATACAATGGTAATTAGTAACGTCACCGGGATATTCATGTGGTCGTGCTGTCCTCTCAATGTAATGTATATACGTCTATAACAATTACAGCCAGAAATGTATAAAGTAAGATTCAAAATTCAAAATGAACGGTTCATTACACCAAAACTCACATAAAAACATAGTAAGAAATGTGTTAACAAATAATATACCGGTACACTGTTTGGTTCCTACAAATATTCAAAAAATACCTTTTTTGATCTATTACATCAAATTAACCAACAAATGCATTTGTTGCTGACTATCATAACACAGACACTTGCATAAGTGTATATACTTCTAATGGAGCAAAAATTATATATTATATATATTTACCTGAATTGGAAAAGATGCCTTCACTTTCTCTCATATCTTCATGTAGTCTTGCCAGTCTAAGTCTGAGATAACGAATTAAAATTAAAAGTTAGCAAGAATGTCATGTATTATTATAATATTCTGTCAGATTTACATAAAAGATTGGGTTATTGAATAGACTGTCAAAAGACATAGCCAAGGGAAAATACTAAAGAAATCTTGAAAATTCAACAGTCATCTTTTAAAAACAAAAGAATCCCTGACAAATGACAACGAGGCTCTTTAAAAACAAAAGAATCCCTGACAAATGACAATGAGGCTCTTTAAAAACAAGAGAATCCCTGACAAATGACAACGAGGCTCTTTAAAAACAAAAGAATCCCTGACAAATGACAATGAGGCTCTTTAAAAACAAAAGAATCTCTGACAAATTACAATGAGGGCATTCTGAATGTCAAACAAAAGAACCTTACACTTTACAAGATCAAATAGTTAAACAAGATAAAAACAAGAGTATATATCTCACAGTGGAGAATGTGCTCTACCTAGCACACACAAAAAACAAAAGAATTTCTTACACATGGCATTGTAAGTATAGTAAATCCCTCTTTAAAAGAAATGTTGCACTCTCATTTATTACAAAGTATATTCTATTGTACCAACACTTATACGAAACATGAATACTAAATTAACTTCTTGTTTTCTTCTTACTCACTTTGAAATCAGTGGAATCCAAGTCAAGTCAAGTTCAAGAGTAGTGGTAGTCACAAAGTATGTTTGAATTCCATGTAAATATTTATTTATAATCTTAACCCACGGTTTTGAAAACAAATTGAGAAGTGGATAAAGTGGCATTGTTAATTGGTTTTTTTAAATTAAGCTAAAGAAAATGAATGGTTGGGATACTGTATAAAACTAATTAGATTTTACATTGAAAACATTTGTAACAAACTGACAAGCCATAATCCACTTCAGCTAGCTATTGTACAATCCTTTATTTTTGCTTAGAATTAATTTTCGCTGTAGGAATGATTCAGTGAAAATTTTACATTCCACTCTTCAAAAGTCAGTGAAAATAAATTCCATACAAATCATCCAAAAAGTCTATTCAGTGAAAATAAATTTCTGCTAAAATAAAATTAAAATAAAACAGAAATTAACTAGTTTGGATGAAAATAAACATACTTACAATGTTACAATGTCAGCATTGGCTGTCGTCAAAGCTATCTTCAGTGCATCCTGTAAATAAGAGAACAGAAATACATCTTAATTATAAAAATCATGAACTACTTGTACATGTAATGTGAATAAAAAAAATACTTGCTAATTTAAATTAAATGTAGTTACAGCAACTGGGGCAATTGGTATTAAATGTTGATATCAACATAGACAAGGTTAAAAAAACACAGGCATCGATGTCTTACACCGAATCATTAATTTTATTTCAATACTATCGCTAAAAAATACAGTGAAATTTTTGGGAGCCATCCAGTTACCCTTGACTTTAATACCCAATATCGTGACTTACCCAATATTGTAACTTAGTGATTGTAATTGTTTTTCAAGAAACAGGTTGAACTATTTGTTTTTTTGGGCAGATTAATTTATAAGTCGTATGGTTTGGGCTTAGATGGTGAATATACTTCAGTAGAACTGACTTTGTAGGGATCAAAATGTAATCCCCAAAATCATGTCGAGTCAGTTTGACTGCTGGTATGTTAAATGGTTTATGATAAATGATAATATCATTTTATCTACTGTAACTGTAAATAGGTGCATACAGTAATGTAATATCTTTATTGCAATTGAATCCACTTTGGAATACAGATCAGATGTGATAAATTGTAAATAAAAGTCAGTCTTCAAGGGAAAACTTGTATAACTATATTGGTGACTTGGGGCACAAATTATGTTGTGACCCATGATTTCCTTTATTTTTACATCTATTTTGTTTATAAAATTTAAATTTCATTTACTAAATCACAAATTCTATAATTCTGGCGAGATGTTTTTCAAGATCACTATCAATATATGATTTTCTGTTGCGTCAGTGATGCATCAGTGATTAAACACAACTAGTTGCACCACAGAAAATCTGTGTGCGTCAGTGGCATGACATATTGTCTTAAAGAACATACTGTAATTGAGGAGGGATTCCAAGCATTTAAGATTTGTAAGAAGAATATTGTCTAATCTCACCTGCCCATCTGCATCCACTGCATGTTGGTTAGCACCTCTTTTTAAGAATAAACAAACTAGCCTGAAATGTAAAGATGTTGTTGACATTCAAGATCTTTGTATATCCAAAAACTATTTGGTTTTTTCACCACCAAACTTTCTCACAACATTTTTTCTGTATTTTTTTCTAATATTTTTAAATATTTCTGGAAATGAACTTGAATTTTTGAGCCAACAGACAAAATTTGAGTAAATTGTCAGTTTTTACCCAAAACATTTGGCTATGTTTGTCCCAATTTCTGAAGGAAAGTGCAGTTTATAAATGAGACTATTTTGTGAATTTGTGATGAAAAGAGGGAACTGGTGGTGAAAAGGTTAATCCTCCATTCACACAATAAAACTAACAAATAAACACCAGAGAGACGAGAAAAACAGGATTTGTTTTCAGCAATTCATAATAGAATATTCATGTCAAATTAATTAAATAACTGTAGATCATAGCAGAAAAATTATAGGTTTTATAAGATACCGGTAATAAGTGTATTGTGAATAATAAATCTGCAATTTATGGAAATTACTATAAGAATCCTATTAATGTAGATAAGTTATGTTTGTACTTACCCTGTATGTCCTAATATAGTGGCATGGTGCAACACACCTTTACCATTCCCATCTCTTGTATTGACTTTAGCACCATTGAGTAAAAGAAAATCACAAGCTGCTAGGGAGCCCTATTAGAAATCAACACATAATAATTATGGTTTGTATACATTCTTTGGGTTAGTTAAGGGGTCAGGGATATATAAAAACATGCACATACAAAGACCAACTATGTTAATTTCAGCTAAAAAAACATGAAAAAATAATTGCAATTATATGAAGTTTGAATATAAAGTCATAGAATGTTGGAGATATGGCTCAGAAACAGCATTTTTTAAAACCAATTGCCATTTTTAATCTGATCTGAGAACAAAAATGATGTCTGATGTTTGTACCAAGTTTGAACAAAATTAATCCATGGGAATGGCAGAAATGCTTGATTTTGAAGAAATTGTATCACAAAAATGGCTGTCATTCTGTCTTCAAACAGATCATGAAACGAATGGACGTGCATTTGTATCCCAAAATGTGAAGTTTGATTGTGATTAGATCAGACATATGAAGACAGACGCACACACACACGCACAGACGGACGGACGCACACACGCACAGACACAGACAAATGAACGCACACACAGGTCAACACAAAGTCTCTGTTTCGGGACAGCGTCTAAACATATACTGTAAACTCATACAAAGTACTGACCACATTTGGCATATCATAGTGATACTCATTCTGTCATTATAGGAGGGTTTCCCAGACAAACCTGAGCTCCTAAGTTACAATGCTACTTACCCCGAACACAGCTTGATGTAAAGGACATTTCCTATGATCCTCTGTGTTAATCCAATTCACCTCAGCACCATTTGCTAATGCCTCAAGCATGACTGGGAGATTATTGGCACCTGCAGCCTGAGGTAAATCAATGTCAATCATTAGCATTACATTACAACAACAATATCATAGGGTATTAAGCAAATAATAAACACTCAAATCAAGGGATGTGTAAACTAGTAAACATTGGACTACCCTGATTCAACATGGCCGCATTTGGTTGCGTAACAAACTATGACATTATAGTAAGTTACTTTTTGATAATTTTGTATTGGCATTAGATTTAGGGGGCAGGTGAAGGGTACATAGAAATTAAATATTTACTAATTTGTAATATGTATAACCGTAATGAAAACAACAACAAAAAGTTATTACACAATTTTGTCAGTAGAGAGCATGAAATGTTTCGGCATTGTCACCATTTTGAATTTACGGCAATTGAAGACAAATGTTGAAAGTTTATTAATGTTGTTTTATTGATACTTCTGCCACAGAAGTCATTTCCTGTTTGGGACGACATGACAGGGCTGTGTGGCCATCTCCCTATCAAATGGCAATTTTAATGTGCTATCCTGGTGTCAACCAGGCTCGGCCGAACACAAGCACCTGCGGACCTTAACCAAGGTTCCCCCAAAGTCGCATTCGTAAGTGAATGAATCTCAACCAGTGGAATTGGCCTTCCCATTGAGTCTGTGGCACACTCACCCAGGGTAGGGGTCGACCCTTTGATGTTCAGCCTAAGGTTGGATTTGAACTTGGGTCTACCGATCACGAGTCTGATGCGACAACCACTATGCTACTAGTGATCGGTTGATAAATAGTTGATATCATATCATATTTGTGTCCTATGTAAAGTTTATTCATCAAGAAAGTATTTGGTGTATACTGATTTTATCAACGTTTTTAGGAACGTGTTTTCAAAAGATTACTATGCACCCCTTTTCTACACCAATGTCGCTTTAGGCTTGTTCTGGTAGTGATGTTTCACATATTTGTGGGAATGCAACTTTAAGTGTATATTGTTTGAATATTACCTTGTATAATAGCATATTTGGATGTAACTTTGCAAGATCTTCTAATGATGTTGTTGTTGCATCATTTGTTACCATGGTTTCATCAATACTTTCCTCATCACTACTCCCTAAGAAACAAAAAATAGTTAACCATGGTTTGCAGTGAATTGATATGCTTCATCTTCTTAGACACGTACAAATCCATGTAATTTGGTTTCACAAATGATACTTTTTATTGGTGAAAAGTTTATAAAATAAGATAATAACAATTTATTGCATTTTAAAGCCCATATACAAAAGTTTATACAGTGTACTATATTTCTCGTATATATATACGTTGAATAAAAATTGAATAAACTAAAAATTAACTCAATGGTATAAAAAATAAACACTTTATTTCAAGATTTAATCTTTTCTATTGTCTTTGATTTAATCATAAGTCAAAAATTCTTTCAAACATTTTAGCAAATCAACTTTAGATTAAATGTTAATGAAGCTCTAAAACTACTACCATGCGTATATTACTCTATGCATATCAATGCTCTACAGTTATTGCATTATTAGCCTTGTGCCAATATCCTGGTATTTTATATAGTTTATGATAAATGATATCATTTTATCTACTGTAGCTCTAAATACAGTAAAGTAATATCTTTATTGCAATTGAATCCACTTTGGGACATTGTAGGAAAAATAAAGTGTAAACAACAAAAAACAAATCGTGGTATACAAGGCAGCATACTGAGTGTCAGAGTTGGGATGGAATGATCATATATTTTCATATACACGATTCTTTGTTGCAAAAATTAGCTACTTTGTTTCCGTTGTCTGCTTTGTCTTGTGTTGATCCTAAGCGATACTTTTAGTCTTGATTTGTGAGCAGTGTAATAAGAAGGTATTTCACAAACTGTATTGCTGTTTCACCACTGAATAAAGATATTCATTGATAAAAGGACCTACTTCCTAATCTATTCTGCATTTTGTGGGACACATTTGATTTATATTTTCCTGACCACACTGAGAAATATATGGACAATTATGATATGTACATCTCATGACTGGTTTATCAGGGCAGTGTGAATACAATATTTGATGAGGGTCATTGCTAGATTTTCATAATGGAAATATTCATTTATTTGTTCTCATAGTTTTTCTTGTAATATAATTAACAGCATTATTCATTCAGGTTTTATAGAACCCATGCAAGTCAAAATTTTACACAGTCTACCAAGTCTGAATTGCTTTGACATTTTATCAGTGAGGTTACATGCATAGACCTAATATGGCCATGTATAACCATACACCTTAGAAGGTCTATGGTATAACATACTTTCACTAAAAAATACATACTTTTAGTAAAATAACGATAACCTTGCCTATATGTTTTAAAGCTGACAATTAGAATAAGTTGAAATCATTTAAATATGCATCTAAAACACAGTTAAACTGTGGTAGCCTTGCCTAATGAATAATTATCACCTTGTATCTATGAACAAATTTGAACTCAACGAATATATTTTTATGCTGTCAAAATTTATCAAAACTATTATGATATCAAAAAATGAAAGACCAGGTGGCACATTAGTAAATTAACCTTTTGACAGCACCAGACTTGCTGCATGCGCTATCGGCTTTTGACAGTGCCAGACTTGCTGCATGCATAGAGTAGAGATAGAATTGTCTTACTGTAATCAGCAAATTGATCAATATCTTCAACATGTTTTTTAATACCTTCTCCCATGATGTCATTTCTTTCTAAACAGGAACCAAACACCAAGACATCAGCGCTACCACCGAGACCACTGTCAGATGAAACACCTGTAAAATGTGGACAAATAATTAAGGTTAATATACAAAAATATATCATTTATTTTCACTGACATTTAATTTCACTATTTTGAGCAATGTCACTAGATTTTAAGTTCACGAAGTTGATGAGAAAACAATGATTTTAATAAGTTGTTATTGGACATGCTTATGTGAATTTAATTTAGCAAATTTTACTTATCAATTAAAAAAACAGTGAATAATTAATTGCTCATTAAACACACTGTTGTCTGTTCTAAATACGTTTTGCGGTGTCGTTTAAGTTGTGCCACACAGAATATTTCAGCTAAGCCGCACATACATGCATACCAGCATATTTAGGCCGGTAACAGCAAAATGTAGTTTGTTGGAGTTTTGAAATGTGCTGCTGCATGTAAAACTCTGAAAAGGTTTAAAGCGGGAGGGTCGTCACCTGCTCATGCACAGGAATAGAGTCCCAATCGACGATAACAACACACGCTAAAAACGCAAATGCTCATGAGTAGACGCTTGTTTGTAAGGCATACACAGGTGACGACACCCCCGCTTTAACCTTTTCACCACCAGACTTTCTTGCCAAAATTTTTCAGCACTTTTTTCCTATATTCTTCAATATTTCTGGAAATGAACCCTAATTTTGGAGCCAACAGACAACATTTAAGTCAATTTTCAGTTTTTACTCAAAAAATTTGGCTAATTTTGTTCCAATCTTCTGAAGGAAAGTCCAGACTATAAATGGTACTATTTCGTGAATTTGTGATGAAAATTAAGAACTGGCGGTGAAAAGTTTAATTGGTTGAATGAAAGTGCGTGACTCAAGAAATACATTTATGACTTTAAAGTTCAACCAGCAATTCAGTAAGAGGGTGTCCGCCAAGAGTATCACGGCGCTGCCGCCCCTGTTCCCCAGTTTGAAAACCCCCAGTTTTAAACTGGCAACCGATTTATTGTATTTATTGTAGAGTGTCATACATGTGGGGAGTAAATTGTCTTGAAATAAGAGTAGAACAAAATAATATAAATCATATCCTACCTGTACGTAAAGAAGCTGGACTAGCATTACCACTGCTAGGTACAAGTTTGGTTTGGATATCTGTCGTCGTCTCTTCACCACCATCGATCTTAGACGTAGCTTTCTTGGACTTCCTCCGATGATGTTTGGTTACACTCCATTGCTTCACTAGACCCCTACCATCAGGTTTTGATACATGGCTTGGAAGTGTAGGAAGTTTTTTGACAAACTTTTTATCTACGTATTTGGCACGAATCCAGGCTTCTCGTACATCTCTGGAATTACATTAGGTGTAACCAAGTCATTGTTGGTGAAGCAAGTTGACAAATATTTAAATTAAGTTCAGTATACATAAAGACAGCACATCTCCCTATTGAATATTCATGGTTCAAATATCAATTTTCTATTTTGAAGGGCACTGATACAGTCATGTGGGGGTAACAGAGGAATGAAGTTTTGAGACTGAGTAGTTTTTGAGAGATGTGCGATCACAGTTCTCTCTTACCACCCAAGTTTCTGTTAAATATAAACATGTTATGAATGGACCACTCAAGTTTCTGTAAATGTATATTACAACCAACTATATCTTTGGTGATGTGCAGTTGAAGAGAAAAAACTAACGACTTAACGGACTTCTGATGTTTGTCTTACCTATCACACATTGGCATTGCCCTTTTGGCTATTGTTTCATCTACACTAGCTTCGTATATTTTGTTAATTTTATCATTTCCTAGTTCTGCCATAACCTGTAAAGATAATATGGATAAACCATCATGTTGTCTTTTATAAGCAATCATTGTCACTTAAAGCGTTAGGGTGTCACCTGCGCACGCGAAGGGAATAGAGTCCCAAGCGACGTTAACACACGCTAAAAATGCAAAGGCTCATGGGTAGACGCTTGTTTGTCAACAATGACATGCTATAGCCATCTGACGCATGCGCAGGTGACGACCCCCCCCCGCTTTAAGAATGAACAAATTAATGCAAATAAAACAATTAAACATTTGAATATTATAAATTAAGAAATTAATGTGATTTGAACTATAATTATTCTAGCGAAAAATGACCAGATTTCACAAGGCAAAGAATGATGCATAACCTGCAGACTGCATGTTACAACAGTTGATATTGTTTGCTAATAAATGAGTACATGCAGTGCTTCCATCATCTCTAAACAAACAAAATTCTTTATCATCAATGAATATATATTATTTTGACAGAACCCAACATTGAGGTCTTGATCAAAATACGAGCGCCCTTAACCCAGAACCAAAAGAATACAATTTGAAATGAGATTTATTTGTGTTTCGCTTGATAATTTCAACTGCCAATACAATCAGGTCATGTGATGTCCCTAATTATCCATAATGCAACTAATTTAGCACCTGTTACGACAGGAAAGAAAAATTAAAGCATTTTTTTCTGAAACAAAATGAACATGAAAGCACATACGGTAGAGGAATTATATTTTAATACAAAATAAAGACAACTAAGCATGTTGTAGTCTTGGTAACAAACATGGAAGAACTGTCAGTGCTGTAAGTAAGGAGACATGCATGATGGTTAATTGCTCCATTTAATTCCCACAATGCAATACAAAGAAGATATGACATCACACACAAAATACAACAGCCCTTAGTACTGCAATGTAACAATAAACAATTTCCAAGATATCCCACAATGCACAGTGATGAAATTCATTTAAGAATTCATAATAATGTTTCTTTTACTGCACTCCAATCTTATTAAAAGTTTGATGTAGGTAGAGGCTGCCACTGATGTTTTTTTTCACATATTAACTTAAGCATCTCAATATCTACAAAAATTGCATTCTTGGAAATTCCACTTTTATAGGCCAATCAGCAACATTTCTAAAGCTGAGTATATTGCTCTGTGAATGCATTATGATACAAGGCTCCTGATTGGTTGTTGATTGCCATACTGTATTTGCTTTATTAGCAGAGCATACTAGTACACTTACATAAATTACATAGGTATTTCCATCATCAAAATAAGTAACATTTTAATGATTCATATAAAACGAATGCAATTTGGGTTTATATGCACTTCTATTGGAGATGTGCTTTTAATAGAGTAAATACAGTAGATATATCAGATAAATTGAGGAGGGAACTGAGTTACCTCAGAGATAATGACAAACAAGTCTTTGTTTGGTGCTGGGCTCAAAATGGATGGAGGACATGGAGGCTGTTACCAAGTCACAGGAATGCATTGATGCCCTTTAATATGATCAAACATTTCCTCCACAGTTTCAATTATTATAAAGTAAATTAAAAAATTTGAACTTGAAATTGAGCACTCCTTCGAATTTTGAAGTTTGAGACCTATAGTTGGACACATTTGTTTATATATTGTTTGCACATTCAGTGACTGCATGTCAAGAATTAGTAATTCATACAAGGTAAAATTACTAGCATTTGTTCAGGGATTTGTATTAAATATACAGTACAATCCTCGGATAGCTTAACATTTAACACTTTTAGTTGGCTTAAAACTAGCTCATGCCTAATCTCTCGCCTAATCTCCCTTAATGCGTCTTACAAGTAAAATTAGTAACATAGATTAATACTACAAGAAATAAGTTTCCATTATTGATTACCGCCATACTCACTTTATATTATAAGCAATGCTAGTCGGTAGTTGACCCTTCGAGTGCCAGATATTTTTTATACCCAAATTCAGTGTAAACATTTTCACATTTTCAGTAAATTTCATCTCCATTTTGGACCAAACAGACAGTTTGCTTTTAGTTTTTGATCAACAACAACATGTGCGGAAGAGCAGATTATACAAACAAATTTTGTAGATGATGTTAAAGTTGACAACTGTGCTCAAAAGGTTAAGCTGCACTTGAACTTGACTGTACAATGTGTTTAGGTTAAAGGGTGGCAGTCGTCATGCTGCATCCTGTTCGATTTTGGACTCATAGCGACGTATACAATGCGTGTAATATACATTGTTTATTTACATGAAATTCGAACACACGCTGCACAACGACCAACGCGATTTCATAAAACATGAAGAGCGCTAATCAGACAACATTGTGTGCTTGATGTGTACATGCTGGTTTGTAAAAATAAACAAATGATACAACAGTGCGCTAGCCTCTACCGATATCAGATATTAATCAGATTGCAATATTACCCAGAATTCAAAAAATAAGTGTACCACTATGCATGATGGGAGTACAGGTTAGAGGTCAACAATGTGACAGACATGTGGAAGAAGGGGGGGGGGGGTTACACCACAGAGTGTAGGGCTGCTGTATTTTAGGTGTGTACAACAGCAGCAGCACCCATGCTTTATTATTGAATAGTTATTTGGTATACAAGTTATTAGTCACTATCTGTGTAACAGCACATACAGGAATACAGTACCAGGGAATTACTCAAGGAAAGGGTAGCCAATGTACTCCATCAGGGGAGGGGCAGCAAAAATAGGCCCTTATGGGAGGGACAGCAAACATCTTCACAAACAACAATTGTTAAATATTACAAATATTAAATTTTCTTCTTCAATTATGAATTTAATCTAGAGGGAATGTGTGTATTTATTAGGTGTATATTATGAGTAATACTGCACTAGTAAGGAGCAAAACTTGGTTGTGACTACAGATTCAGGCTGGAGTGGACTCGCACAACAAGACCTATACGGTATATACATACCGGGAATTTTGCTTTAATCCTCTGCTTGTCACTAAAAGTGAATTTCATTTGACTACAATCCCAGCATACTAATGTGGATAATGTTGTCCTGACAACTCACGGGGTAACATTCTAAACAAAGCTTTCAATGGATCAATACAATGGGGTGAAATTAACAATGAGTTGGGGGAAGGGGGTGAAATAAATAAAGTGCGCCCTCAGGAGACAATACCCCCGTATCCAACTTTCCACACCTGCGCTCTGTAAACTTCCAGAGACTTTTACTAACATGGGGTACTTAAAATATACACATGCTTGACTGGATCTACATTCTGTACTCTGAAAGTTTGGATACAAGAAACAGATTTTTGTAAAATGCTTCAGATATTAGACTATCATTGTCGTAACAGAACATCCCTATTTGTATCTGGTCAGTGTGTCTCACTAACACATGCATATAGGAATACATGCACTGTAAATTACTTTATTTTAGCTGATATTAATTTTAGCTGAAAAGACTTTCTGGGTGTTTTGTCTGGAATTTGTTCCTTCTGCAAAAATATTAGACTTGCATACAGTCCCTAGTTTATTTGTTTATGTTTTCTCAAAAAAACAAAAAACGTTTCTCCATTTACATTCCCACAACATTTTATTTTATTGAGAAAACAACAACAAATAAACAAGGGACTGTATGCAACTCCACAAAAATATGTATTTTACAGTATATCATTAAAAATAGGCATGGGGGGAGGGCAAAGTGCGGGGGTAATAGTATGTGCTGTGACACAGACAGGAACAAATTATAGATGTAATCATATAGCTCACTCTGTAACTATTTCTGCTATCGTGTTTATAGACCTCCAACACAGACTTTCCCTAGTTAAAATAAATAAAACAAAACAAAAAAAAAAACAAGACAAAAACAATTAACCAGCATGGTGCTACTGTGTTAGGTAACAACACATTGCCTACAGATGAGCAAAATATGTAAGTTAACATTAGAAATGAGAAAAAAAAAAACTTTTACAAGGGTATATTCTAGCTTTTGGCCACCATCTTGGATTTTAAATTCACCCATCATGCTTTGCATGCAAATGTATGCATATCAATATGTAAAATTATTGTCTCATTTTATTTGGGCATTGTAAGTGTTGTTTTTTAAATAAAAGATTTCAAATGACCTGTAAAATAAACAATTGTCTGAAATTTCTCAAAATTGTGTAGCAGACACCAGGGCGAGAAAATTTCACCAGCCTTGCGAGTAAGTTACCAGCCTTACAATAAAGATTATTTCCAAATACTCCAGTTGCAATTCAAAGTAAGTACACTTTATTTAGCAGAATTAGATCACACTGATGTGAATAAATTTATTGTCACTTTGGTCATCTGAGAAGTATTCAACCTTTTCACCACCAGACTTTCTCGCCTAAATTTTTCTACACTTTTTTCTTATATTCTTCAATATTTCTGGAAATGAATTTTTATTTTAGAGCCAACAGATAAAATTTAGAGCCAATTTTCGAATTTGTGATGAAGAGGGAATTGGTGGTGAAAGGGTTTAATTGTTCAACTTAAAAATTGTTTCGTTTTCAGCTTCACAACCATTGTACTGGTATCAGTCTTTGGAGGACAGCTTTCAACTTCATCTAATAATTAGTGAAATGATTAATTAAAAACATACACATGGCAACACTGAAATGATTTATGGTTTTACAAAAAAAAAATAACAACAACCTACTTTTCGAGTCTCAGGTTCCCAAGCATCTAAGGTCAATGACCTCACTTTGGACGTTTGAACACCAAAACTCCTGCAAGTTTTAGAAATATATTATAATCAATAATCAATTAATTAATTCTACAAAAAAAAGCGTCTTAAACAAAAACCTTTTCCAACCCTTTGAAATCATGTAGATAGTTCTCAACAAACACCTCTTAAAACAAACAACTTTCGTTAATAGTCCCATTGTCGTCCAGTACTTACGAAATTCGCAAAAATTTTGCCTCTCGCAAATTAAACGTAGTTGACAGTATGCATACATGGCCCTTTAAAGGCTGATGGTAATCGCGATAGTTTGTTCTAGGGCATTCCAATTTTATGTAAATAAATAAACACATGTGACCCACACATACAGATAAGGATATGGACACATACGGACTCGTATCAAATTACAGTCAAGACGACCACTGCCCTTTAACCTTACTACAACTAGACAGTCAACATACCTATGCGTGCCTGAACACTCTATACATAGCGTTATACCAAGATTTATACTCGCCCAGCGTGGATCTGAAACAGATTATAAAGCATGTGTTAACTAAACTTACGAGTGACACGTATACCACTGTGTTCATATTGTTTTAACACGCTTCAAATAATGTAGTATTTGATTCATGCTAGCATGATCAAGTAACCCCAGTATTATCTTGTGACCTATATTATTATCTTATGACCTAGATCTAACAGTATCCATCTTGGTTATTATAATTAAACACATTTTTCTGATTAGTCTGATCAATGAACATATTGGATGTATCTACGCACAGTACTTGCTCTATTAAAAATGCATCTCTAAAAGAAGCACATATAAACCAAAAATCAAACTTATTATTAAACTATTACTTATATTGACCGTAGAAACACACCCATGCAAGCACATGCGCTCTAACAGAGCAAATATGGTACAACGAACACAGAGAAATAGTGGACAGTTCTACATATTCATTGAATGAGAAACAGATTCATTTTTATTTTGATAAATAATAAGTAACACAAATTCAACTTATTTAATTGATAGCAATACTTACTGGGTGTCTGACAGTCACAGCATTTGTCATTACCGGGAATAGACTGCAGTTTTGTCAATAAACTAAAAATAAAATAAAATAAAACACCATTTATCAAAATATACCAACATATTCTACCCTTGACGAGTATATACTAGCGTTGACCAACATATACTACCCTTGACCAGTATATACTAGCATTGACCAACATATCAGTACAAGATGTGGAATTTTGAGTTAACATTTTTACAACCAGACTTTCTTGAACAAATTTTTCCGAACTTTTCTCGTAAATTTATTCTTCAAAATTTCTGGAAATCATCATTAATTTTGGTGCCAACAAACAAAATGTCAAGTTTCATTTTTCACTCAAAAAATTTGGCTGTTTTTGGCCCGGCAATATTAAGAAGAAAAGTGCAGACTATTTTGTGATGAAAAGAGAGAAGCCAGACTGCATCTGTTCCAGGGTAAATCCTCAGAGACAGGAACCAATCCTATACTCCCCCTAAGCGGACCTTAAGCCCAAACCAAAGATAATGTGCCTTTTGCACGACATTCGAAAGGTCATACATTCAGGTACTTTCAGGGGAGGTGCAATTTCACTATAAAAAAGAATTTCCAATTATGTTTTTCCCAAAAAACATCAACATTTGTCACTGAAGTTCAAAAATATCGGTAGTTAAATACAATTATTGCTATTATAGATCAACAATACCCCTAAAAGTACCAGGATGTGTGACCTTTAGGGGTCACACATGTGATTCGATAACATACCTTGGTTCTGACTTTGTAGCATTACTTCCTCTTTCAATAGAGGCTTCTACACTACTAGAAGATGAACTCTCATCATTGGCAGTCTAGGGATATAATAACTTTTATGAGCAAAACACTGACATCTAAAAAACACCAATCTACCTGTATTTTCTACAGCAGATAATATTTGGTAATCTTTGTCCTAACTATTCAAATAGATCATATTTATCAGTCCAAACAATGTCTGTTTGTTTATTTGTTTATTTATTTATTTACTTTTTCTAGTTTAAGACATCTATTACCAAATGTATTATTCAATGTATAAGAAATGGTAATCTGTCAGCAAATAAACGACTTACCTTTTCCAGTGTATTACCGTGATCACTGAATGACCTGTTAATAGCAGCTTCTAACGCTTCAATCCAGCCTTTACGTAAATTTTCAGAGTCTGCCTGTAGCATACAGGTCCTGTAATTAAACACAAGACAATGTGTATTACTCATACAGATGCATGTCGAGTTATTGAATTTCTGTGGTAGTTGGAGTCGCTCAAATACTGTACTGATATCGTCCAACATAAAATATACATATGTGAGCAGAATACAAGTTGTTTATTTCACTAATAATCAAAATCTGCTGAATTAAATCCACATGAACGTATAAAATTACAATAGAACTCTGTTTCACTGGTAAAACCATGAATTTACAATCAAGTGGAAAAGCTTGAATTCCAGTGAAAATAAATGCTTCAACAGTAAATGATGTCACAGTTCACCAGTGAAAATAAATGCTTCTACCGTAAATGATGTCACAGTTCACCAGTGAAAATAAATGCTTCTACCGTAAATGATGTCACAGTTCACCAGTGAAAATAAATGCTTCTACCGTAAATGATGTCACAGTTCACCAGTGAAAATAAATGCTTCTACCGTAAATGATGTCACAGTTCACCAGTGAAAATAAATGCTTCTACCGTAAATGATGTCACAGTTCACCAATGAAAATAAATGCTTCTACCGTAAATGCTGTCATGGCACCAGTGAAAATAAATGATTCTACAGTAAATGTCAGTGTACCAGTGAAAATAAATGATTCTACAGTAAATGTCACAGTGCACCAGTGAAAATAAATGATTCTACAGTAAATGTCAGTGCACCAGTGAAAATAAATGATTCTACAGTAAATGTCGCAGTGCACCAGTGAAAATAAATGATTCTACAGTAAATGTCACAGTGCACCAGTGAAAATAAATGATTCTACAGTAAATGTTACAGTGCACCAGTGAAAATAAATGATTCTACAGTAAATGTCGCAGTGCACCAGTGAAAATAAATGATTCTACAGTAAATGTTACAGTGCACCAGTGAAAATAAATGATCCTACAGTAAATGTCGCAGTGCACCAGTGAAAATAAATGATTCTACAGTAAATGTCGCAGTGCACCAGTGAAAATAAATGATTCTACAGTAAATGTCACAGTGCACCAGTGAAAATAAATAATTCTACAGTAAATGTTACAGTGCACCAGTGAAAATAAATGATTCTACAGTAAATGTCGCAGTGCACCAGTGAAAATAAATGATTCTACAGTAAATGTCACAGTGCACCAGTGAAAATAAATGATTCTACAGTAAATGTCGCAGTGCACCAGTGAAAATAAATGATTCTACAGTAAATGTCACAGTGCACCAATTCCTAAAACACACAGCTTGTAATACAATACGGGTACCTCAACACTATTGATAAAAAGTGATCTTAGTGATCTTTCTAGTGTTCGAAAGAATGTTGTTATGACAACTATTTTTAGATTACAGCAACATAAAGTAACTTACTTAGTAGGTGAAACAACTTCAAAACAAAACCGTCTTTCAATTTCATTTGCTAGTTTCACAGTACAAAGGTTAAGATCAGCAACCACAGTCGGAGTATCCTGAAACAAACAATATTTATAATTAATTAATTATATATTTAAGTACATTCATTATATATTCTGTGTGCATCCAACACCATTCAAAGTAATATAAAGTGAGAGGATCGTCACCTCCGCACGTGCAGGAATTGAGTCCCAGACGGTGATAACAACACACGCTAAAAACGCAAAGGCTCATGGGTA